AGGAAAGGGGTCAATACCAATACAGGGTGGGTGATCCGCGCCGTGTGTTGTTTTTTTTTTGGCTTATACTGTACCGGATTCACGCGTGCGGGCGGGCTTGCCTATCGTCGCTCGCCAAGGCGCCTTATGGCCCCGTGCGAGTGTGCAACTTGTCCGCACGCATGAATCCGGTACAGTATAAGCAGAAAAAAACCACGGCGCGGATATCACCCACCCTGTAGGCACGCTTGCCTCACCACCATACACCGGGCGCAATGGCATTTAACAATTTTATGTAATAATTTTATTTGGCCTTAACAGGTCCGGTCCAGGACGAGGCTCACAACCCGATGCAGGTCGCTAATGCAGGTAAGAGGTGAGTAACGGGAGACCCCCCACCCCTCTCCCTGCCACCCGTACGATGCCTGATCAGGAAGCACCGACCTGGACTCCCTGCTAGTGACCACCTGCTGCAGTGCAGACACCGTACCTCATCCCCTAACTTCGCTGGTGACTCTAAGTTCTCTCCCGCGGCCCGGGGTGGCCCGCCAGCCCCAGCCCCAGCGCGCCGCGGACGGGGAGGCCGGCTGGGCGGCTCGGCGAAGGGGAGGGGAGGGGGAGCCGCGAGGCGCGAGCCGGGCTTGTCTTGGGCGCCGAGCGTCGCCGGTAGGTAGGTCATAATAGTCGTCTGTTTTGTCCCCGGTATAAAAGAGTCCATCAACGGCTGAAGTCAGCCACTCCCTCGCCAACACTGGTCTGCAACGGATCAGTCAAAAAAATCAGGTAAGAGAGTTTCGTGCGTCGTGTGTTGTGTGTGTCAGTGACTCAAGTGACCGTGTCGTTGCGTTAGTGATTGTTGAAGTGTCTGCGTAGTGTTGATAAAGTTAATTTGAACTCCGACACGCCTTCAAAATCGTCAAAATTTGAAGGTGATTCGCGTATATAATTTGCTACAATTTTATTTATTTTTTAAAGTGAAGTGGTGACTTTAATAAAACGGAATGTCCTTGTAAATTCCTGAAGTTGTACCGGGTGTCTCAGTTCACGCGCCGGCTTATTGCCGGCTTGTTAGGCGTGAACCGATACACCCAATAGCTTGTTGAGTTTTATTTATTCGAAAAGTAGTACAGTGCGTGCATTATTTACCATTGCTCATCTCCTACAGACCATAGTACTAATGCGCAAATTTTTTCCATTGTTTTGTTCAGAAACATGAGGTTGGTTTTGGCGTGCGTCCTGGCCGCGGCCTGCGCAGCCGTCGCATACGCGTCGTGCGACAAGGAGCTGCTCAACGAGCTGTCCGTCTACATCAATGGCAACAACATCGTCTTCCCCTGCGCCTCCACGGAGAAGATCTACAAGAAGTCCGGCCTGTACGTGCCCAAGAACATGATCGCCACCCGCGTGCAGATCTCCGGCTCCGACGTGTTCGTCGCCACCCCCCGCTTCCGCGAGGGAGTGCCCTTCACCCTGTCGCACCTGAACCTCAAGGACAAGGCCTGCGCACCCACCCTCAGCCCCTGGCCGTGCTGGTCGCTCCAGGAGGAGGGTAACTGCGACGCTCTCCAGAACGTCGTCGACCTGTTCATCGACGTCAACGACATCCTGTGGGTGCTCGACGTCGGTATCACCAACACCCTGGACAACCCCACCCGCCGTTGCGCCCCCAAGGTCGTCGGTTTCAACATCAAGACCGGCAAGCTCGTCAAGTCCATCGACCTGTCTGGCCTTGTGTGCTCTTCCAGCCGTCTGCAGTACCTGGTTGTCGACTACACCCCCGACGGCAAGTGCTACCTGTACGTGTCCGACGCCGCCACCCGCGCCATCCTCGTCTACGACATCCAGGCCAACCGCGGTTTCCGTGTGGTGCTCCCCAAGGCTGTCCTCCTCGGCGGTGCCAACCGTGACGTCCTCTACCTGGCTCTGATCCGTCGCCCCGACAACAACAACCTCATCATCTTCAGCTACCTGTCCAGCTGCCGCCTGTTCGCCATCAAGTCCTGCAACCTGCGTCGCGGCTCTGCCAACGGTGTGGTCGTCGATGTCGGCCCCAAGAACGGCAAGATCGTCATCCTGGGTACCGACGGTGCCTCCAACCTGTTCTTCCGTGAGAAGGGAGGCTCCGACATCTACATGTGGAACGCCGAGACCTGCTTCAAGCCCGACAACTTCCAGCTGGTGCAGCACGGAAACGACTGCCGCCTGGCCACCCAGGTCGTCCCCGGCTACAAGAGGCTCATGTGGGTCATCGAGTCCAACTTCAACGACTACATCCAGAACCAGGTCGGCTGTCTGGGAGCCCAGGTCGTCCTCCACCCCCTCGTCAAGTCCTGCGAGGACTAAGCTGCGCCGCGCGCTGCACCACCTCATGAAGGGCGCATGAGTCACCGAGGGGCGGCCCCGCGGCGGCCCCGGCCGAACACCAGTCCACGCCGCACGCCGCCGGGGCCCCCGGGAGCTGCTCCTCCACGCCCACATCTGACTGATCCTCACAGAAATGTGTGTTATTGTTAAGTTTTAACTGCACCCCCTCGGGTCTGCGGTCGTCCCGAGCTGCGGGTGCGTTGTTGAGAGATGCTGTTAACTATTAATAAATTGACCTTAGTGATACACCCGATAACTCGGCGCACTGCTCATTTTCCCAAGCCAACCATTATTTTATTTTTTAAAGAAATGAAGTGAACAAAACCAAAAACAAAATAAATTAGAAAAATAAAATACTTCACGGCAAACACCATGTCTTGGTAAAGAAATAAATAAAATACACAGCTCATATCTCGCAGGACATGCAAGACAGGGTGACTAGGCAACATCCTCGTCTCACTGCAGGGGAGCTTAGCGGGTTGCCTACCCGGGGATTCACAGGCGGTGGCTGCGCGCGCGCAGTTCGGGCGGGGCCGAGGCGGGCGGCGCGCGCGTGGGGAGTATCGCCGAGGCGAGATGGAGGCCCATGAGCGCGGGGTATACGGCCGCGCCCAGCCTAAGTGTATGCACAACACATGTAGATCAGTGGGGCACGATCCACCGCGCGTGGCGAGGCGGGACTGGAGGGAAGGGGAGAGGAGGGTAGGGGGTAAGACTGGCGGGCTGTTGTAGGTGCGACTACGTAAGCGATTTTAGCGCAACGTTCGGGCTGCACCGTCCGCGCCGCCGCCGCCGTGCCAGCGCGACCCTACTCGGTTTGAACGTCGCCCCCGCTGCTCCCCTTGTCCCCCTCCTCTCCCCCGCACATTCTCGACCCCTCCCCACTTACCCTTTCTCTCTCTCTCTCTCTCTCTCTCTCTCTCTCTCTCTCTCTGAGTGTAACCCAGAATGATATCTTCCACAAAGGCCCTATATTATACAATAAACTACCACTTAGTTTTAAGAAATTGACCTATGTTAGATTTACTAAACAATTAAAAAAGCTTTTAATATCTCATTGTTTTTACAGTGTTGATGAATTTTTAAAATGTAATGTCAATTCAATGTCCAATACTGCTTTTTTGTAGTTCAGTGGCAATAAACAATCAATCAATCAATCAATCAATCTCTCTCTCTCTCTCTCTCTCTCTCTCTCTCTC